ATTTTCAGACTATTTATTTTCAACCCCCCCCCCCCACCTAATACGCCTGACCCAGGGGCATAAAAGTAATCATTTTGCTCGATGCACCTTTCTTCATTGTAAATATATATACTTATGCCCTGTTGACACGACAAGTTTAATTTGCAGTAAAATAATGCGAACGCAAGTGAGTTAAGGCTAAACATGAATATTTCTATGCAAATGAGCTAAAAAAAAATTCATAATTTGTATATTTTATGTACAGAGAAAGATCAAATTGATTTTCTAATATATACTAAGTACCAACAGTTTATTATTGCAAGTGCACATTATGACGTCATATCATGACGTCATTTTTCTCTCCCATTCAAGGTAATAAATCACATCAACAAAATCACATCGGCGCAAGGGCATAACCTATCTAATTCAAAATAAACATTGCATAGTATTAAGGAGAATATTGTTAAAATTAATAAATTTGCTGCACAAATCCTATGAACTTTCTAAATCGATAAAAATATTAGGAAACTTACACTGGACTGTGAATTTTTACCCTGTTTAAACTTCAAACTGCACGAATAGTAAATAAACAATTGCAGTGCCGACATTTGCGCAGCAATATCTTAAATCCTTGGAATACCCTGCGTCTTTTTCTACCTTGTTTCTGTAAAACAAAGTAAGGTATGCCCTTGCGCCGAAGCGATTTTGTTGATGTTTCTTATGAACTTGTGTAGTAGAGGTTGATGACGTCATAATATGACGTCATAATGTGTACTGGCTATCGCATTTCGTGGGTACCAAGAATGTATGATAAAACAAGTCTTAACATCTTTTGTGCATTAGGTAGAGCAAATATAGAATTTAATCAGACATTTTGCGTAAAAACCTCCATATGTAGCCTTAACTCACTTGCGAAGTAAACTAATGCGAATCAAACTAATACGAGTTAAATTGTGTTCACTGGACATCTAATGCAAAGTAAACTAATGTGAATTAAACTTTTACTTCGACAGTCAGGCGTGAGGAAGGCTATTATGACGTCATTTACAAGTCAAGTCACCTTATGCAGAAGCAGATGCATTTGACATAATGTCACAGTGTCTGGAGACATATTTTAGTTATTTGAACACATTTTTTCTTCAAGTTAGTTTTTCACTCAAAAATAGCACGACTACTTAAAGCTGACCACCAACATGACGCATTTGACTTAATTTTGCCATTACGCATGCCCCAAAATTTAATTTGAATTAGCTTTGCTTAGCGTTCACACGGAGCTAATGCGAAGTAATTTAATGCGCAGTAAACTAATGTGAAGTAAACTAATTCGCATTAAATTCTCCGTGTGAACGCTAAGCGAAGCTAATTCGCAATAAACTTGCGTTTAATTCGAATTAAACTCTCCGAGTGAACAGGGCATATGATCATTGGCATAATACCTAGGAGCAAAGGAAAAAGGTTTTTTAAGAATAAATATTTTTCACTAAATCATGCTATATAATAAAAAGCCTCCCCCTTACACCAAATGGCAAAGAACCCATGACCCAGGTGCCATGAAATTCACAAATTTGGCAGAGGTTCAATTTTTTTTTTGTCATGGTCAAGTCCAGGACTTAAAGAGTAAATTTAAGGCAAGTCCAAGGAAGAAATTTCAGAGTCCATATTTACCCACACATCATTAAATTTATGTTACTTATAGCGAGCGCAGCGAATCGAGCTTAATAGACAACATGTATGAACAGAGGAAATTCGGATTGAAATCTGTACATACGTCAGCCAATTTTTTTTGTGAAACATTCCCAGAATTCCTGCACTACCCAATGTCCTTTGCGCGAATAAATAAATAAATAAATAAATAAATAATAACGTAAAGCATAAAAGACTTTTAGTTTGCAGAAAACTTTCAAAGAAACAAAAAATAACTCTGCAATTTTTTTTCGATCAAAATTGCATTAGGTCTAAAGTTTCAACCAGACGCTCGGCTGTCTCCATAAGCTCGACGAGCTCCGTAACGTCGTGTGACATCACAGCTAGTCGAGATGTCCATCTTGTGCGGCTTGACGTTTGAAGTGGCTGATCAATTTTTCAAGTGTTTTTGATGGTACAACTGCATGCGCCCACCCCAACAGTCACACCGTAAAACATATTAATTTATTTTCATTTGTTGCATTGAATGAATAAAGACTATATGTATTAATATGTTTTATTTTTCCTCCATAAACTGTCATATAGCCATACATGAGTATTTCAACACAATACCAGACTGATAGATTATTTGTACATTACAATAACGTTTACAAATACTCACTACTAAATAAATCATCTGTTAAAATCAATAGAAATTAGAATGTGCTGTAAGTCAAAGCTAAAACCGAAATTTAATAAACTAATTGCCATTTGTCATATAGGAGGAAACACGAGGAATTGCGTAAAAGCAAGAGTCTAACCGCAACGGAAAATAAAAAGACGGATTGTATTTTCGAAACGTTTGTAATGTTAACTTTTATGGGTGTTTAAATGACCACAAACCCGCATTTTTACTTAATACATTTGAGAATTTGCTTTATTTTAAGTTTTAGGATCATTTTTTTAACTTAAAAAAAAGATAAACAAGAAACATAGCCAAGTCCCAGGACTTTGGCGAATTTTAAATGCCGAGTCCGGATCTGGAATTTGTTATTCTGGGACGTCGGGCTTGAGGAATTTTGAACCCCTGTTTGGTAGAGACACTCTTGCTCATCATAACTATGTACATAGTAAGTTTATTTAAATACCCAGAAGCAGAGAAGATTTTCAAAGAATTAATATCTTTTCCCTATATAATCAACAGAGCCACGCCCTAACACCAGAACCCCTGATCTTGGGGCCATAAAATTCAAAATTTTGGAAGAGACACTCTTGTTCATCATAACTATGTTCTCAGTACTTAGTTTATCTAATACCCAGAAGCAGAGAAGATTTTCTAAGAAATAATGCATTTTCATTCTATAATCTATAGCCCCGCCCTAGCACTAGAACATCAACCCTGGGGTCAGGAATTTCACAACATTGGAAGAGTCACTCTTGCTCATCATAACTATATACTTAGTTTATTTAATACCCAGGATCAGAGAAGAAGATTTTCAAAGAATTAATATCTTTTCACTTTATAATCAACAGAGCCCCGTCCTAACACCAGAACCCCTGACCCTGTGGCCATAAAATACACAATTTTGAAAGAGGCTCTCAAGTTGCTCATTATAACTATATACTTATTTATCTAATACCCAGGAGCAGAGAAGCAGATTTTCAAAGAATCAATGCATTTTCACTAATTCAATAGAGCCCCGCCCTAGCACTATAACCCCTAACCCTGGGGTCACAAATTTCACAATTTTGATAGAGGACTCAATGCTCATTACATTCATTCCAACAGTTTATCTGCTTGATGTCCAGGAGTAAAGAAGATTTTAAAGATTGCACTAATTTTCCTAATTGTTTTGGCCCCACTCCCAAGGCCCCAGGGGGGCAGGAACCATGAAATTCACAATTTTTGTCCCTGTTCACCCATAGATGCTGTATACCAAATTTGGTTGAAATTGGTTCAGTGGTTCCAGAGGAGAAGCTGAAAATGTTCAAATGTTAACACACAACGACAGAGTTTACTCAGGTGACCTAAAAACATCATTCTTTTTTTTTAAACCTGCTTTCACTGGGCAACAGAACATATATATCATTTTTAATCCTCTCCCTTCCTTCAATAAAAAGATCAATCCAATCATTGATCAAATTTCTAGGAAGTCTTTTGTTTTAATTAACTGTTTATAAATTTTTATACGCAACTGAAGAGGATTTTTTAAGATATACCATAAAATTTACAGCCATTCATTGAACGAGTACAACTGAGACAACCATTTTTTGTAAAAAGTAATTGACATCACTAAGGTATATTCACAGATATAAGCCAGGTCTAGTGAAGTTCAGGTCAGGTCTAGTAAAATTTTCAATAATAGTCCAACTGGTCTAGCTTGTTTTAAAGTAAATGTTGAGTCCTGGATATATACTCTCTGTATATATACAGGTGATGAAGCTACATTGCTACATAAGTAAGGGAAACTGACAATAGAAAAGTTTAAGTCATCAAGTTCATCATATAGCTTGGTTGTTAGATTACCATTTAATTTATGTCTTTTTCAAGTCAAACATCCAAGTATGAAACAGATGTGTCAGACTCTGGGTATCTTTTATCTCAAGCTCACCAATATATATGGTATCAACCTAGGAATGGAAATTACCATTGGTAATTGACAATACGTTGTATATCTAAATGTCAAGTTCAAGGCCACAGCAAGTGTTTTCTTCTTTTCACGCATAAGATTTTGCACAAATTATGCTTCATATGAATATAAAAATACTCCTGTCTGCTAATAACGGAGGCGAGCACAATGGAACCCATGGGAATTCCAATAGATTGTTGGAATACCTGTCTCCAAAAACCACATAGATATTGTCATTCAGAAACTCAAGCATCTCTTTGAATTAAAGATGTTAACTTCAGAGTACTTGTATGTGCAATCAGAATGTGTTTTAACAAAATAATTTTGCAAATGACCAATGACCAGGTAAGTAAATTTTCCAGCATATGCTATTTATAGATTTTTTGTATGGGTAAGTGTGTACCTAATTTATTCTAATCTGAATTGTGGTTTTGTAGATATAAAGATAATCCCAAACTTTTTGAACACCTCTCGTAGATATTAAAAGTATTGCACACAAGTCCTTCATTTAGTGGAACTCTTCAACTCCAGGGAAGAACCCAATAAAGTTCAAACTATGTACGTATGTTGCATATGACCTTAAATTTAGTTTAGGCACTCACTAAGATACAAATTATATCTGGTAATTAGCTTGTAGACTAGCATAAAATTAAGTTTAACTTTCTTAAAATGACCACCACTTATGCTTACATTTTTGCAGTCAATTTATTTTAAGAAAAATATTTTTGTTACTTCAGTGTACTACAGTGAAGTAAAAATATGACTTACCCAAGTGCATCCCTCCACATGATGTCAATCCGGATCGTCCTATCCAGGTCATCCATCTCTGAAGAACAGCTGAAAGGAGAATAGGAAAATTAATATAGAATGAACAGCTGAACGGGGAGTAAGAAATGTAGAATGAACAGCTGAAATGGGAGAAATGAATATTGAGTACAATAATTATGGTCCTAAAATTCATGTTCCACTTATGGTTTGAGGTCATACTTCATTGCTACCTTTTTTGAGGTCTGATTAATTTCCCCTTTTTCAGCACAGTAGGTTTACATTGTTTAAAATGAAGATAGCTAAATTTCAATTATTACCTGGTCTGTTATGACTGGATGCTTAAATATGACACCTGGCACAGCTAACCTAGCTGATATACAGAACAGCACTGTTGATTGTTCACCATTTATAAGAGAGAGAGTTACACAGCCGAACATCACTAATTTTCAATGGGGGGTTCATTTTCGTTGTTTTTGAGACCCATAAATTCATGCCCACAACAGAATGTAAATTTTCATATGCACAACTACTAAAAAGTTCTTCATCCATGAGATCAAATCCCCCATGAACCAACATTTTTTTCTCGAACCACGAAAATTTGACCCCACGGAAATATGTGATTTTACAGTGTATCTCGACCAACCAATGATATATCTCGTAAAGGGTAAACTGATCGCGAGTCAGGTGTCAATTTATATTCACCAACAATATTGACAACAGGGTACATTACATGCATGAACTTAACAAGCAAATTCAAGGAATTGTGGTCCCACCGCTTTCGGTGTCTTTGTGGTTGAGAAGTCATTTTTTTATGACATATTGTGTGTAATATGAACACCCTATCATATGTCATCTATTTAGAAATCATCCCTGAACTCCAAGGTCAAGGGGTTTAAGTTCTTGGTATCCAATGAAAAGTCTTTCCATAAGGATTACATATGTGAAGTATGAAAGCCCCAGCCCTTACGGTTCAAAAGTAATGGTCAAGGTTAAAGTTTTTTTTATAAGTACAGAAACCTCCAAGGTCAAAAAGTCAAAGTTGTTGGTATCCAATGAAAGGACTTTCAACAAAAAATACAGATAAGAAGTATAAAAGTCCCAGTATCCACTGTTCAAAAGATATGGCCAAGGTCAATGTTTTTGAAAAGTAGGTTAAATTCCAAGGTCAAGGTCAAAAGTCAAAGTTGTTGGTATCCAATAAAAGGTCTGGTCACAAAGAATATACATGTACATGTGTAATATGAAAGTCCTAATATCTACCATTTAGAAGTTATGGCCAAAGTAAAAGTTTGGAATTTTTGTGTAAAAATGGGTCAAACTCAAAGGTCAGGGTCAAAGGTTAAATTCGGTGGTACCCAAAGAAAGGTCTTGTCACAAGAAATACACATGTGAAATATGAAAGTCATAAATCCACTAAATCAAAAGTTATGGGCAAGGTTAAAGTTTTTGTGACGGACTGACAGACGGACAGCTAGACAGACTGATGGACAGGGGAATAAGATTTAATGTTCCCTCGCTTTCGCAAAAGTTTCGCAAAAGTTTTCTAAAGATTTGTCTGACATATAATATATTCCTATGTAAAATTTTGATCACAACCCATTCCCAGAAGGGTCATGATTTCAACAAACTTGAATCTACATGACATTAAATTAGTTGATCTAAAGTAGAATTTTAAAGATTTTTCCTGTAGATATATATATTGGTATGTAAAATTTTATTTACATGTACTGATTACTGTAAACCAACATTCCGTGCAGAAATTTTCGCGAAGTTCAGAACCTTGTCATCGCAATATTTCTCGCCGCGAACGGGTCCTTAAATCTCTTTTTCTATTAAAAATAGCTCAAAAAAAGGATTTTTCCGAAAATTAATCGTCGCGAACAACTTTACTCCCAGTAAATCGCGAAATAAAGTCGTCGCGAATAAAAGTTGGTTTACAGTATTTGAACAAAATAGAATTTACACTACCATAAAATGCCTTTATATAAATATGACCAAATATATTACTCTTGAAAAGAAGATTTTTGAAAGACACACATAAGTTTTTCCTTGGAAAAAGGTTTGACCGGCCTTCATCCTTGTTCATATAGACAAACTTGAATCCCAACGGATACTTAATTGCACCAATTAAGTTTGGTTAAAAATGGCCCAGTGTGAGGATCTTGAGAATTTTAAAATGTGTATTAAAAGTTTACAGACAGACGGACGGACAACTAGACAGATACTGGACAAAATGTGATCAGAAAAGCTCTCTTGAGCCTATGGCTTATGTGAGCTAATAAAAGTAAACTTCTTTTCAAACTTTGGGGGGATGTTTGCCACCAATCTCCCCTACAGACACCCCACCCCCACCCCAAGATACCCGCAAGAATCTTAAGGAATGGATTATATGAGTTCATTATGCTACCTACAACATGTACATTGTAATTTGATAAATGTTTACAAGGCATGCATTGGTTCTGTGACTTGACCATGTTGGTTTCACTTTAACAGCTAAGAATGGAGATATTTTAGATTTCTGTTTTTTTTACCTCAATCCTCTCGTCGGCTGCTGTACAAAACTGTCGTCCGTGCAATCCATCCTCGTAGATAACACGAAAAATCCAGGAAAATCTGTGTATAAGCTCTCTGTAAATCGCAGTGTAATCTCGCCAAAGTCATATATCAAGCGAATGAGTACCAGTTCACGTGAACAAAACCCCGCATAGAAGCCTGCTATGGTCACTGGTGCGTGAAATGTGTGAATAGCAGGGTTACATGTACTTGTAAAGACGTGGTGGAAGCTTTTCATGAATTTTTCATCTTAGAGCTGTGGGGAAAAGTCAAAATAATTGGGCAGCTATGCACCCACATGATTTTTCTCGATATTTGCATATTTTTAAATTGACGTCATGCATAACATTTTACATGATTTAGAGAGCACAGGTACTTGTGGACACCCCCCCCCCCTCGATTTTCAACCCCGGGGCTTAATGGAGTTTTTTCACAAAATATATTTATTACACCTTTTCATCATATGTACAACAGGGAAAAAAGTGTTTTAAAAACCCAAAAACAATCGCTCCACAAAAAAAGTAAAGTGTGTTCAGTGGCGTAGCGTGCATAAAATATATGTGTAGGCAAAAGAAAATGAAGCGAAAGATTTCACTGAGGCGCGAAGCGCCGATAGGGGGTAGGTGCGAGAGGGATCACCCCCTCCTGCCAGGGGAGTTGAATCCGGGATGTTTCGCGCCCATTCTGTTTCGCACTGAGATGGTTCGCGCCGGGATGATTCGCGCCGATTTCGGTGCGAAACATCTCCCCCTCTTTTTTTATATTTCATTTATTTTGTAATAAATTAAGATCATTTATTTAATCATAGATATAAATATGTGTTGTATGCTCAAAATCATGACTTTATAATTTGCGGTGCCACAGGTAACGGATTGTAAATGTTAATATTGTGCCCGTTTGCTGAGCGTGTGTGTTCAACTATTTAATTGTAATTAGTTGGAGATCAAAAGGTGAGAATTATTTCATTACAGCAATTATAAAGTCATACAGCAAGTAGATCACCAACTTTTTTTTATAGGTAAATATAGACACATATCTGAAGTAAATATATTCTTGAATATTCAAAATTGAAGTTTCAATGAATTTTACATGAAATGATTTTTTTCATTTATTTTTATTTGAAATAATGTTAAGTCTCCAAATTTTGATTCTCCAAGCCAGCAAATTTACGTTGATAGGTTCCCCAAGCCGGCAATGATTACAGAATTACTTAATTAGATGGCGGTATGCTAAAGTAAATACTATCAACATAATTATCAGAGTGTAAAAATAATATACAATTAGACTTAGTACTTAAAATAAACTTCTACAATTAAAAATATAAACTAATATTCTATAAAATTTCGATTCTTACATCAATATTCACAGATATTATAATTTATTATTTTTTAATTCTTTTTCAAAATGAACGAAATAAAAAGCATACATTTTATGTTCTGGGAGCGAAACATCGCGGGGCGAACCATCTCAGCGCAAAACAGAATTAGTGCGAAACATCGCGGTGCGAACCATGCATCGGCGCGAAACATCCCGTTACCGGGGAGTTTGGGGGGCCTCCCCCGAGAAAATTTTGAAAAAATAGACTCAAAATTAGCACTTATGAGGAAAAAATCGTTACATTAAACAAAAAACGTACATGTATGCTTGTTTATAGTTTTTTATTTGGGCATTTTGGGATTTTCGCCCATTAAACAGTCAGATCTTAAAAGTTTTTTTTAAACATGTTAAAAGCAAACTCTTTTAGATTCTCCAGATATATGTCACCTCAATGAACATGTATACTAGTAAATCTAGTAAAAAGCAGATTACTATTTTTGGACACCCCTCCCCCTGATTTGAATATTTGGACAAGATTATACTTATAGGCATTTATATTATTCGTTATAAATTTAAATTAAAATTTTTAAAAAATGGTGTTTAAATAATACGTTATCATTGTTTTGTATATAGAGACATGAAAGTGAAAAGAACCTTTTAAGGGATTAAAATTGCATTTATGTTTGATACTAAATTTAGGTTTAATTTTAACGATAACACATTTATTTACATACATTACAGAACATTGAAACTTGGTTGGGATTAAAACATCAAAAGGCTCCCACTTTTTGTGAGAAACTCGACTTTTCCACTATTTGTCAAAGAGGATTACAGGAATGTATAGGGTCTTTAATTGTATGGGGGAACTCAGTTTGACTTCTGACGCCACTGAAAGAAACAAAACTGCAAATTTATGTTTTAAAGCTATATAATGAATTTTATTGTTTTAAAATTTTATTTATTATTAACAAACTTATTACAAGAATTCATTTTTCTTTAAAAAAAAATGACCGTCAACTTTGCCAAAAATTATGTGTAGGCATTTGCCTTTTTGCCTTAATGGACGCTACGCCACTGGTGTTAAACCCCAAGGTCTAGATCGTTAGGTCTTAATCATGGTACCTAAAGATCTAGGAAGGTTTTGTCAAAAGGATACCGTTACATATAAAAGCTATAGCCTCACCCATTCAAAAGTTATGAGCAA